TTATATCACCTTGTGCCTCGTGCTATGAATTGTTTTATTTCATGTAATTTGAACGATACATTATAAGAATAAATTATTATAAATTTTAGGATATCTCTTATGATTATTTCGTTTTTTATTTTCTATTTTTGATTTTTGAAAACATAGATTTTTATAATGAATTTAATTTCTCTTTCACCAAACTTTTAAATTTGTATTTAATAGATTTATAAACTTTAAAAATTATTTAATATACTTTAATTTTTTTTTTCTGTCTAATAGATCTCTTATCTATCAATATAACATTGACGAATATTTAAAATTTAGAATTAAATTTTATGTCTAATAAAATGTTTAATAAATTGTTAAAGTTGACATGACCATTAGACACAAGATTTTAAAAATGTGGCAGAACCATTTTAAAAGTCGAGACCGGTTAAGTACCAAATTGAAAATTAAGACTTACACTATTTAAAGTTTAATTTTTTAACAAAAATAATTTTAAAATGCAAGGACTTAATTTAGTAGCTAAAATTATATTTTAAACTTTTTTAAATTTAAGTAAATATAGATAAATAGTAATTTTTAGAAACAAATTTCTATGTTCAAAAAGCTTTTTTTTTCTTTAGGCTATTTTTTCTTCCACTCCACTCACTCCGTGGAATCTCTCTTTCAAATTTTATTCCTTTCTTTAAGATCTCTCCAAAAATATCACTGACCTACTTTTATTTTTCTTTCCTAATTTAAAAGTATCTTTCTCGTCTAAATTTTTCCTTTTTTAGAAATTAAAGTCTGAAAATAAACTTATAATTTAATATTTTAAAATTATTAACTTGAATATAACTCAACTGATCAAGAACGTACTTACGACTCTTCATCCAACATATTGTATTAAAAAAATCTTAAGTAAATTAAAAAAATATTTGCTAGAAACAAGTTTCTACTCTCCAAAATCTTTTTTTTACACTATTTTTCTTTCACCACTCCTACCAATCTTTAGGTTTTCTCCTCTCTAAAATTTCTTTCTCTATTTAAAATTTTCAATTTTCATCTACTTGTATTTTTCTTTCATAATTTAAAATATCTTTCTCACTTTTCCTCCCTCTAAATATTTAATTTTTAAGTTTTGTTAATTAATATTCATGATTTTCATCTCAAAATCAATTAGCAAAAATCAATTAGCAATTAGAGGAGTAGCGGATGTCTATTATAAATTTTTGTTAGGTAGCTTATATTTTCAATGTAGGATCCTTAAGATTGTTTTTTTAAAAAAAAATTGTAGCAAAAAAAGGGAATGCGAGTCGAAGAGTATGTAAGATGCCCAAAGCTAACATATGAGTGGATTTAGCGAGCCATATTCATGCAAGTTCATCTCTTCCCCAAATACCTCTTTGCGGAGTCTCTTTGGTTGCTTGACATGAAAAGTACTTTGGTCCTCGGAAGACTAATGAACTGTTCAATCTCATGGAACCTTTCATCAATGGTTGCGTATGACCAATTTAATTTCTCAATTCTTTTTTTACCTTAATTCCATAGGAATCTAGCAAATTAGGAAGCTGAGAAAATAGAACCATCTCATGCGACTCATATACTCAATAGTCCTGTGATCATTTATCATAAGGTGATCCTTTTGATTCCTAGGGACAAATTGGAAACTATTGAAGAACAAAGTTCTTATAAAACAAAGATAAATGAATCCACAATCACTTGTGACACAATCAACTTTCAAAAAGATTGTTGGGATAATCTATCTAGAACCATATTCTAACTTTTGGTGGATAAATAATGGATTAAATATGGGCATCGGAAAAATAAGAAAGACTTTTTGAAAGTGAACACCAACCTAGCTAAGTGGTAATTGACACATATCTCTGACCACGATTTCATAGGTTCGAATCCCCCAACTCCACTTATTTAACACTAATATAAAAAAATGATTTCATTCTTAAAATTAAGAGGTTTAATTTACTCAAATTGAGTTATAAGTTGACATTTTTTAACCGAAACCGACTCAATGTTATATTTTAATTTTGATTATCTCGTTGACCCTTTGATAAAATAGATATGTAATCTTATATATTTAATAGTTCCACTCACATGTAGTGTAGGTGTAGATACTAATTTGATTCACAAATTTCAATATTTAAATTATTAATATTGGGATGGTATGTTATAAACTTATAATACCATATTAATCATCATTTGAGTTAAAAGCATAAACGGATATGTGAGAAAAAAAAAGGCAAAAAAAAGCATAAACAGATAAATTAGAATATATTTAATACTTGTTCAAAATTTAATCTTTTAACTGATTTTTTAATTTTTTGGTAAAAAGACAAGACTCTCGTTTATGATTTGATACATTATTAAGCGATATATTTATTTTATTTATGAGTCCCGTATCAAACTTAAATACCATTCAATTAATAAATAATAAATAAGAATAGTATAGAAAATCTCATTGGCATTTATAATCATTTTTGTTGCAGTGTTTACGTATACTCTTAATAAGATTATGTTAAATTATTTGCAAAAAAATAAATAATAATAAAAATATTCTTCATTATTGTTTTCCCGACACACACATATATATGTATATATTTATTTTATTCAACTATAGTTTTAGTCTTTGAACTACTTGTATTTTAGTCTATAAATTTTAAAAATTTTAAAATTTTTTATTAGATCAACCTTCCATTTTAATTCTTAAAGTCTTTGATGTTAATATTAGTATTTAAATGTTGATATCACATGTTAATTTGAATTTAAATTTTTTTTACTAACATAAATGGGAGGTGAGAAGATTTGCGAACTTTTAATTGAAAAAAGATAGTAAATACATTCAGTTAAACTCATGTTGAGAACTCATCAATTTAGCATAATGCGACACACATAAGTAGATGCGCCAACACATAAAATAAGGATAGACAAAAAAAAAATTTCTATATGTAGCAACAAGACAAAGTACATGATTCTTTCACCCGACTCACACTCACCCTCTATTTTTTTTTAATCTACCTAACCTACTCTCTTTTGTCACTCGTTGTCAAATCTGTCTGCTCTCTTGTGTCACTCGTTGCGACATCATCTCATTTGCCATATCATTATTCTTAATCAAATTAATATGTCGCGTCAATATGTAATTAGCATTCCAGAACTTTAATGTAACCAAATTCAATATAGCACATTTCAAAGAGAAATAAAGAGAGAGAAAAAGTAGTGAAAGGCAAAGGGTTAAAGCAAACCAGTGAAGAGAGGTAGGTGAAATGAATGGTGGGATTGGTTTACAAACGTGAGGCTTGAAATATGCCCAACAAAATAATAACTACTCATTAATTATCGAGAAAATGTAAAGAATGAGGTGTTTCCACGCAATAAATTAATTTCAGGTACCAAAACAAACATAGTTCAACGATAATTAACATATACCAGATTGTAGTTATGTTTTCTTTCTTGAAAAGGACAATTTTTTTTTTACATAATTTCTATGTTTTTAGAATATAGCATCATGAGTACGAGGGTGTATGGATTTGAGTTTACGACTATTTATGAGGAGGCAAGATATTTAACCCATTAAGCTACAATATTTTGTTCGTTAATATTTCAAAATAGATATTTTAGTCTCTAATTATTATTCATCCACACTCAATATTTAGACTTCGATACATGAACACATCATTGTTAAAACACAAATTCATGATATATATGCAATTTTAAGAAAAGAAAAAAAATATATATATATATAATAAACAAAATAGCTATGCCTATAAAAATTGCTATCGTTATTTTTTAGTTTGAAACATAAAAAGAAAATAGGTTAAACGATAAGATTTGCCTTTATTGATATGAGGTCGGTAGAAAAGTTTCATTTCAATCTCTATTATTTTGTTAAAACTCTCAAATGATCGTAAACCATTATTTTATCAATCAAACTCATCGGTTTTCTTATTGTTTTTCTCATGTAAATTGAGAACGTCTCTCATATTTAATAGAGTAAATATCTATTGTCTTGTGACAAGTGTATGATGGAGTTGAGATTTAACCATTACAAATTGAAACTTTTAAAATCGTAAGAATCTAAAATTAAAATTAAACTCAAATTCCACATTGAAACCTTATCAAATGGAGTTGGCTGCATACATCGTTAACATTTTCATATATCCATAAATTTGAGATCAGCAAAACAACACTAATGCAAACATCACATTAATATTAATACATTCTAATCTATTAAGAAAAAAATGGAATATTAAGAACATTTCATACCATTTTTTTTAGAAATATTTAACCACATTAACGTTTTTGTCGATATTTCTATTGAGATCCTGGACCTGGCCAAGCTAGGCGTCCGCTCTACCTACCCTGGCATGGGGTGACAGTGGATAGATGCCTATTTATGGCGATGGCTACCGAAACTTAAACTCACATTTCCATTTCCATTTCCAATTCCGCCTCAACAATTTCTTCCGCTTCATTGTTCACGGCCAGATCAAGATCAGTATGTCTTCTTTTCCCTTTCTTCTGTTTACATAAAGCACCATTTTCCCAATATTTCTCTACGCCTGCCAACTGTTTGTGTTAATGTCTCAAAGAAACATCCTACGCAATTTCGTTACATATAATTTGTTTCCGCTTTCTGCACCCAGATTTGGGCGTTTGAATCAACTTAATTAGGTTTTTTTTGGCTTTTGTTTTAGATTTGTGTGTGTGAATTGAATGGAATTGAATCGTGTTGATTTTCTTTTGGCTTTTTTGTGATGGAAAATGATGAACAGTGGGGAGTGAAGTGGAGGTGGTAGAAGAAATCGCTTTCCCGAAGCAGATCGTCGGGACAACGACGAAGCCTTTATCTCTGTTGGGTCATGGTGAGTCAATCCATCTTCATTCTGATCATTTCTAGTTGCAGAGACTCAGATCTCGTATATTAAAGATTTTGGATTTTGATGTTTTGTTCTTTGAAAACAAAAGTTTGGATAGTTCATCTTGCCTTTTTCATCTATTTGAAAACATAAAACTAACGGTGGGTGGTAGTGTGGTTGGCCTGGGGCCGAATGGGATACCCCTCCAGGGCCCTACCGGCGTGTATCTAGAGGTATATTGGGTGGCTGTTGTTGACACCTCTAGTTACAGAGATTCAACGGGCGAAACCACATGGGATCAATTTCGGGTTATTAAAAAAAAGGTTACAAAAATATGTTTGATCGGTGGACTTTTATAGAATGATGGATGAAAATGTTGAAATTTAAGATTTGTAATGATTTAAGACTCAGTATCGTTTTTGTTTCTGGTTTTTCATTTCCTTGTTTTTAATAAAGAAAAACAAAAATGTATTACCGACTTGAGCATCGCTTAGGTTAAGACATATATTTTTCATTAAGGTCGTAGGTTCGAATTTTGAATTCTCACTCTCCAATGTTCAATTTTGGAAATCTTTCTTAAAAAGATTAACTAGAAAGGAGAAATAAGAAATAAGAACATTAAGTTCAAATTTAGTAGAAAATAAGTGTGAAATTAGTAGGAAATTAGGGAGTGATTCGAATCCACCCCTACTTAAACAGTGATTATTTTTCTTTTTAATTCATTAGTTGTGGGGCGAGAAATTAATGAACCATTCATTTTGGATGGTAATAGAGCTTCTATAATAATTCTAAGAAGAGATACGTTTGAAAGAGAAAATGGGTCATCTAGTCCGAGAATAGAGTGTTAGGAGAAAGTTTGATGTTAAAAGATGAAAACATGATAATGAATTACTTAAAAAATTGACTCAATTTTTTTTAAATAAAAATTGAAGGGTTATTTTTCATTAGAAAATACTAAAAATAGAAAATGAAATTTGAATGGGTTATCCAACAAAGTAAGCCTTATTTTTATAATGATTTAGTTTTTACTCTTATATTTTTAGAAATCACACATATTTGTTAGCATAACAATACTATTCGTTTGTATTCTACTTTTAAAAACTTTTAAGAAAATCTTGATTAAAAATTAAAATAATTAATTTTTAAAAATAGAATTATTAAAACAAAACGATTATACCTCTCTCTTTTGTTTTTTATTTTTTAAAAATTAAGTTTATAAATACTACTTCCCTCTTTATGATTTTTCTTTGTTCTGTTATCTATCTTTTAAAAATATTTTCAAAATCAATTTAAGCTAATTTTAAAAGAAAAAAGTAGCTTATGAAATTAGAAAAGTAAATAACATACCAAAAATTATTAGAAAGCAAAATTTTTGAAAACATAAAATAAAAACGAAATGTTAGCAACGAAGCTTTAAATTTTTATTATTTTTTCATCTTTAATCAAAAAGGATTCTTAATTTTAGACAAAGTACAAAATTAGATATAACAACACATCCAATGGCAATGGTTTGGAGGGCCAGTGGTAGTATGGCGACTATATTTAGTAAAATTTTCTATTTTATTTAGTTGGACGTCCAATTTTAATCTTTTAATTTCATTCAATTGAACTCTAAATTTTGGATGACGGTGAATATTATTATAACAGGAATTACAGACATTGAGATTCATTTTCTGCAAATAAAGTTGACGGCCATTGGAGTTTACTTGGAGCCTGCAATTGTGGAGCATTTGCAGCAATGGAAGGGGAAACCAGCTAAGGACTTGGAGGAAGACGATGACTTCTTTGATGCTATTGTTTCTGGTAACTCTCATTTCCCATACATCAAATTATCTTAACAATTAGCTAGTTGGCGGGGCAATAGTTTTCACTCGAAACAAATCGAGTCGAGTCGATATGAATATTTAGGAAGTTTTCTGGTAATTTTTTTTAGATTAAGTTTATGTTTTAGTACCTTGGTGTCTTTTTAAAATGTACCTATTGTTTAAACCGTTTCAATTTAGTCTCGTATATTTTTACATTTTTTAATTTAGTCTCTCAGTATTGGTGAATTGGCCAGTGACAAATATACATGGCGTAATATTTAGTGAAGTAGAGAGGAAACTTAAAGGGGTAGATTATCAAGAGAGTAAATTTCCTGTCCTAGATGAAATTTTCCTCTTCTAAATTTTTTGTCATTTCATTAAGTATTACGTAAGTTTATCATTTATCGAAAGTGAGGGGCTTTGACCACTACAAGAAATAAGAATTTTTCCTAATGCAACCTTAATAACATCGGGGAGCAACTTTTTCCGACGTAATATTTGCATCGGGAAAAAAGCCCGGAAAAGTTCGTCAGGAAAGGATACACCCGACGACTTTTCAAAAACAATAAGGAGAAAAAGATTTTCTGACCTTTCTCAAACTGTCGGAATAAAGGAGTTTTTCTCGATGGTTTAAAAAAAGTTGGGAAAAATCTCCTTCCGTAGGTCGACCTTTGAATCTTTTGTCTTAGTATGTGAATCTTTTAAAAAATGACTTATGGGTCATAAATCTATTAGACAGAAGATCTTAGTTGTATAGGCTTATTAGACACGACCTATCAAATATAAAATTGAAAGTTTAGAAACCTTTCGAGATGTCTTGACTCAAATTTGATACGGAGAGATCAAATTGTCTCCCAATCAAATATTAACATCTTTATCTATTCTTGATCTCTGATCACAACTCGAATCGAGAGACTCAAAATCCGTAAATCTTAAACCCTAAACCACTCGTTGCAGCTCCAGTGGAGAAGGTCATAAGAGTTGTGGTGATAAAAGAGATAAAGGGGTCCCAATATGGAGTGCAGTTGGAGAGTGCAGTGAGGGATAGATTGGCAGCTGATGACAAATATGAGGAAGAAGAGGAAGCTCAGTTGGAGAAAATTGTTGAATTCTTTCAGTCCATTTACTTGAAGACACACTCTGTTTTGAACTTCCATTTCCATTTCCCACCAGCTGCAAGAACACCCGTTGCTCAGGTAACAAACTATTTTATCTTCTCTGTCCAAAAATATGTTTTTATAGCAACAACGCAAATGCTTAAATACTATTTTGGTCGGTTTTGGTTCATTTTGGTTCTTGTACTCACGAAAAGTGACCATTTTGGGATTTTCTTTTTCATTGTTGTCTTATTTCTTTTGATTATAATTTTAACATGATATTTCACTCACTAAATTTTTTGAAATGTTAGCCATAAATTTGGTTTAAAGGTTTTCGTTGAGTATAAAGTTTGTGTTAAAATTTTGCAGGTAGGAAGACCAAGTTGGTCACTTTTTAAAAGTAAATGGCCCAATATGAATGTTTTGAAAATATAAAGACAAAAATGACAAAAGTTGAAAGTACAGTAACTAAAATGAATCAAAGTAAAAAATACATGTATAAAAATAGTATTTAAATCAAAAGTAAATTACAAAACCGGAAAAAAAAAGAGAGTAATCATCGAAAACATGTGTTGTTTTGAAATTGGGAAGTTAGAATCTTTAAAGAAAGGTAAAGAGAGGAAAATTATGAATGAAATGGTTATCGACATGGTTTCTGAAGAATCAAGCGTGGAATTTGTAGATCGAGTTTTCGAGTGAAGGGAAAGAAGACGCGAAGATGAAAGTCGAGAACGGGAATGTGGTCGAGATGATCAAGAAATGGTACTTGGGTGGGAGTAGAGGTGTGTCTCAAGCAACCATATCTTCATTGGCTAACAATCTTGCCATTGAGTTATCTAAATGAAACCAAATTGCCTCTACTAGCTTAAACCTAGCATAAAAAATGCTCAATGATGGTGCATCCTAGGTTTTTTTCCCCCTCTGGCTACTTGAACCTCAACTTCTCTTTGTTGTTGCTAAATTACCTAGAGTGGTAAAAAATTGCCAAGTGTTTCAATTTAAAAGGGCCTATCGATAGCGTAATATGCATAACAATATGACCTAGTATTCGAGTGAAATATTTGCTTCTTAGTTATGAAAATGGTCTAACTTATTTTGTGACATCGGTGATGTATTTATTTAAGACATGTCTTCGAACTTTTAAGCATGTTGGATGTGCCACTAGTTATGAGCATAGATTAACTGTTAAAGCATCTTGTTCATTCCCTCGAGGTCCAATGTTCAAACTTCCAACTTCATATAATAATGTTGTACTAAAATTTATATATGTATATATTGAATGGATTGTCTTTTACCACTTGACCCATGAGTCTATAGTAATTTAGGTCAAAGTCACGTATAATTATATCATTATAATGTATATAATATGTCGTTATCTAATCTAAGAAAATTTCATTAAAGAAGATAGCTCTTACATCCACATCAATGATTGAATAAACTCGTTTTTAATATTTACAAAGTGGACTTGTTGATATAGTATTAAGCTCTATTCGAAAGCATTTTTTTTCCTTGAAAACAAACACTTTATTTAAGAAAATCATTAAAGAACTTCGCACGTGCGTATGTATATTTTATTAAAGATTCACTCTTGAAATTTGGCTTCCTTGAGAATCTAACATATTTATCAAATAGAAACATTTTTAAAAATTAAAAGATGTAATAGATGTTTTTGGTTAAATTCTAGAGATTAAATTGACACCATGTTCAAATTTCACGAACTAGATATATTATTAATTAGATTTATTATTAATTAGATGACAACTTTTTTTTCTTCTTCTTGAACTCGATAGAACTATTCAAATGTATCACAAATAATTTTTTTTAATGAATAAAAACTCAAGTTTTAACAAAACTTATCTAACAAAAAGTTTTTAACAAAACATCTTATAGTATGGATATAGAAAAAATAGTAATTTTCAAGAGTCTTGCATTTTATAATCATTGGTTTTTTTAAAACATTGTTTCGTTATGTGTTTGAAATATTTGCACCAACTATTGGTTTAAATTCTATCATTAATTTTTCAAGTAAATTATTTAATAGAAATATAACATGTACATTATTGATGAGACAAATATTTGAAAAATTAAGTAGTTAAATGAAAAATTAAACCATCTCTTAACTAAAATAGAATATTTGAAACATAAAAAGCAAAAATGAAATATTAAAAATTACAAGGTCTAAATAAAACAAATAAGTATTAGTACTAAGACCTAAATCATTATAATGAGTCAACATGAGTTTAAAACAACAGTAAATAATATTTAGTTTTGATTTGTAGACGATTTTATATTCTTTTGACTTCGGTTCATTTTAGTAGATGTAATTTTGAAAGGTTAATTTTTTTAAAATAATTCATATAATATTTTATCAATTTTTTTTGTGGTAATATTAAAAATGTCAATTTATCTCATCAGGTTTAGTGGAACGAAAAAATATCGACATATTGATAGAAATGTCAACGATATTTAATATCATAGAACATAAGTTCATTTCCAAAAAACTATAAACTAAAAATTTCGTTAGTTGAACTGTAAAAGAGAGAGAGAGATTGGCAAATGGCAATTGGTTTTGGTAATATGGAATAAGGATATATTCCTTCTTCCAATTTCCAACTACACCGTCTTGGTTCTTCTTCTTCTTCTTCTTATTCTTCTTCTGTGTTTGTTTCTTATAAATCAAAAATTTTGTAAGAACCCCAAAAATCCTCTGTGCCCAAAACAGAGCACCAGAATCATCATCATGGATCACCCACTTTGATTACCCGAAGAACAAAGAACGAAGAACGAAGAACGAAGAACGAAGAACGAAGAACGAAGAACGAAGAACGAAGAAGGTAGCATCTGGACCTTCAAATCCATGGAAATGCAGGATCCCACCAATCCAAATCCGGGTTCTCATCTCCAAAACCACGTCTCCTCTAACTCTCCAATGCCTTCCTCTTCCAATCCCACCCCATTCCGCGGCTCCTTCCACCGCCGCGCCCATTCCGAGGTCCATTTCCGGATTCCCGACGATCTCGATCTCGTCTCCGACCCTTTCGATGCCCCATCTTCTGGATTTGGAGATCTGGGCTTCGAAGACGACCTCTTGTGCACCTTCATGGACATCGAGAATATTGGATCCAGAATCGAAAATGGGCCCTCCAAGCCTGAAGCTGCCGGTGTCGGTGGTCCGCCGGTGGAGAATGTTGAAGGGGAGAAAATCTCCCGGCCCAGGCACCGCCATAGCAATTCCGCGGATGGCTCTTCTATTATGGAGTCTATTGAGGCTAAGAAGGCCATGGATCCTGATAAGCTTGCTGAGTTGTGGACCATTGATCCTAAGCGAGCCAAGAGGTACGGCTACGGTACCGTTCTTTTAAAATGTGCATTTCTTTTTATTCTGTAATACAATGTATGTTTGTATGTATGTATCTCATTCTCAATATCAACTTTGTTGCTTCTGGATTGACCCTTTGATTTGTGGCCACAAGATCAAAGTATGAATTGCAGTCTTCTTTTGTTATTTTTGAATGTTTTCTTCTTGCTTCTTCGCTGTATCATCTCCCGGAGGATTCTACGACAGAAGAATTGTTGTTTTCCCTGGAAGCTTTGTAAATGTGAATTACTTCAAATTCAGATAGCTGAAGGAAGTTCTGATGTATGAAGGTGGAATCTGTGATCAGTAGTTATGTGTACTGTTGGGGATTTGGTTGTATATGAGGCTTATTTTAATGGTTCAATATGAGGGATTCTCGTGATATTGAATCTTAGTAAGTTATTGTACAGCCGCCATGGGATATGAACCTATTCTCCGAAACTCCATAGTTACTCTACTTTTGTCATTTATCCCAATTACCATTAAGCCAACCTATGGTTTTTCGAATCCAATGATTGCAAATCAAGTTCCAACCTTTTGAATCGACAGCGGGTGGGCATGATATTTTGACGTGTTAGTTTAACTTTTTTTTTTTTATTCAATGTCTTGGCTTAATTTCTTGCTTGCTTTGTATAATCCCCCTTATTATATATATGTATATATATTTTGGGAATGGCAAAGAATGTATTTGCTTCATCTATATCTTCTAGATCTGATTTCTGTTTGGAGCTTGGTGAACTGCTAATGCAGTTGTTTGTGTGGTCTTTCCTGTTTCCAGTTTGTTAAAATACTTGAGATATGGGCGCTAATAAAACTGTACTTAATTTTCAGGATTTTGGCAAATAGACAGTCTGCTGCTCGGTCAAAAGAGAGGAAAGCTCGCTACATAATGGAACTTGAGAGAAAAGTTCAAAGTCTTCAGACTGAAGCAACTACTCTTTCTGCGCAGCTCACATTGTACCAGGTTTTAATTTTTCACCAAGCTCATTTCATGCTCTTGCTATCATCAATGGCATATTATATATACAGTCTGAAATTACACATAGCACTGGGAAAAACAATGTTTTTGCCCATTATTTGCTCATACATTTTAGTGCGAACACTAGGTACTCCTTGGCCTTGCTGAGAGATTTCTTTAAGTTTTTTATGTGGTAAAAGACAAGAGATCTCCATTAAGGTCACAAGAGTTTAGGTACAAAAAATGGCCAAGGAGATAAAGACATCTCCTTTCCAAACCTAAGCAAGGGGATTATACAGAAAGCCTTCAATCAAGATGAATAAGAAAAGTAGATAAATCATAGAAGTCGCTATGTAAGGCCATCAAAGAAGAAGCATAACATTCTCCCCACAAAAAGAAAAAACTCAACTTTGATCTTTAAAAACTCTGTTGTTTCTTTTAAGTGATTTTCTTACATATATATGTACATTTGTACGTATATTTACTTACTTCTATTGAATATTTTCCCTTAAAAGTGAATAAATAGATTTTGTTTGGAGAAAAACCTTGAGAATTGGGCATTGTGGAGTCCTCAAGAGGCAGCTTGGTTGGCAAGGGTTTGGATCTCTTGGTCGTATTGGCTTAGAGGTCTCAAGTTCAAACTTTCCAGTGGACATAATATTAAAAACTCTTGATGTCTCCTAGGTTTGGGCCTTGGGGGCGGGTGTGGGTGCCCCTGGGTATAGGGGAGCAAAGTTCCGACTCCCATTTAAGTGGCATCGTGGTCATCCACACATGTGAGATGAAAATACCACATGCCACTAAAAGATAGGAGTTCCAATTCTTAACCTGGTCCACTGAGTACTTGTTTCTGTTACTTTTGAAAAGTTTCTTTTGATCAGGTGTGGAAGGTGATAGAGCCCCCTCCTCCCAATGTTTCCATAATATGTTCTGTTTAATTGGATGTTGTTTTTTCAATTTACGTAGATATTTTCTAACCAAATTCTTGAGAGACAAACTTAAATTTTTGTAATATTAATGTAAAATTCAGATTAGAATAACTTATCATATTATATAGTATCACTGACAATGACAACCCAATATGGTATCTATCAAAATAAAAGATTAGAGAAGTCCTTTCCTTTTTTTTTTTTTTGAAGTAAACAGAGACTTTTCATTTAAAAGAATGTACTTGAAACTTTGAACATGGAAACACTATTGCTTATTGGCGTTTCTTTGATTTTTATATCATTCTTTCTCAACTTTAGGGTTTTGACATTCTTTATCAACTTTGAAACATGATTTAAACTTCTTTTAATAAACTTTTATGCCCATGAACCATGACAAATTGGAATTCTAGTTAAGATATAGGAAATTATAGTTTTTTACCTTTGTACTCAGTTGAGTGAGTTAAGTTTAACTTTTAAAGTTTTAATTTCATCAAATTGAGCCTTAATTAGGTGGTGAAATTAATATATTTTATTACTTGACTATTTATTTATTTTTTGAAAGTTTTGTAGCTTGTTGCGAGTGTTTTTGTGGCTAATTGAGGCTATTTTTGTGAGTAGTTCTTTGACTATGTTATGTTAGATGCTTTTAGTTAGATATGAGCATTTTAATGTTGAGTTCAAAAGACCTTTGGGTGATTTGGTGGGTGTTATTATTTTGGCTATTGAAATAGCCCCCCCACCCGCCTAATTAGAAACCAAGCTTTAGGAAATTATATAGCTGGAGCACTTTGTAACTATTCCTATTTTGATATGAGGTCAATTGATTTTTTTTTGTTTTGTTTTTTTTTGTAACTCCTTGGACAAGTCTTTCACAGTTTGGTTTAAGCTCAATAATTTAACATGGGGTTTCCATTGGTTGTATTGTGTGAATGCTAAAAATTTGAGGCTGTTGCCTGTATTCACTGCACTGTGAACATAGAAGTTAGAACTATGAAAACAGAACCAGTAAAGTGATTTGCACTAGCTTCCAGCCTCATGATTTTTCTTTCTGGTACAGGTACTCATGAGGGATAAAAATTTTAGATCTAAAACCTTCTTTAGGGTGTAGGAGCATGATGCATGGTATTCCGGTTATTAAAGAAAAAAACTCTTTTTCCACAATAAATGGGCTGGGGCAGCTAGTTTGAAACTTTCCAAACATATACTCCAGTTGACGTTATGATTCAACTTTTCCTGAAAAAGCAATAGGTGAAAGTTCTCAAATGATTATAGAGTTTACTTTTATGAAAAAAAGAATAAAAATGTGACTGAATATTTCATATATTTTTCCATTTTAATGACCTTCACTTAAAGGTTGTTGGTGCTTTTAGAGGAGGTAATGATGGAGACTCCCCGTAGTTCTTATGGAAAGAGGATACAAATGGGAATTTGCTAAAAGTTTATGTTTGTAAACAGAAAAAGTGGAAAGGGTGGTTAGACTAAGGCATTATTAGTGAGTGCACAAGTAGAAGTTCCAAAAGAGTTCTTAAATCCATCCATCACATCACTTTTTCTTTCCTTTCCTTGTCTCACTTTGTTTTTTTCTTTTTCTTTTTCTTTTTCATTTTTAAGTTTCTCTTCCACTTTCTCCTTATAGAATACCAAAATCTACCTTCACTGTGGCTTTCCTTCCCCTATCTCACCTTCCTATCATCATTTCTTCCTCTCTCACTCTCTCAAAAATATCACCTCACAAACCCTTCTTCTCGATAAGGTTTTATGCTGAAAAATATATTTCTGAATTTATTTATAAGAAACAAATTCTTTTATAAGTAGTTACAAAATGAATAGGAAATTTAGGGGACTAGATACCCAACCTAATAAAGGAGCAAGATTGATGGCATGAATATTGTCAAAATAAGAACAAGAGGAACATTACAAAGTTCTCTCTTTGGATTCTAACTGCATGCACAACATGCACTAGAATCTTGTGCTAAGCCTAGTTCTCCAAGTTATCACTGCCATCTAACTTTCAAATATTGTGATGTGTTTGTTAAGTGATTTTGCATGGTCAGGAGTTGATCACTCAAGCATATGAATAAAAACACATGCTTCAGAGAAGTTTACTATTTGTCTAATCACTGTAACTTTCCCTGTTTCTTTTGAAAGATTTTTTTTTCCTTCGATTATTTCATCTTTTGTCATTGTTATTTCTATCAGAGAGATACTACAGGGCTTTCAACTGAAAACACGGAACTCAAACTTCGCTTACAAGCTATGGAACAACAAGCTCATTTACGTGACGGTATGCATCCACGTAGACCCTGGCTATGTATTATTAGAGATCTGACCCCCTTTGTTTTGCTTTTAGATGTCCATGAATAATCTGATATCCACTTGTTCATGTCTGCTATCGGTATTTCTTTCTTTATTCGTAACTGTTATGTCCGAGTAGGGTCCAGTTTAAATTCACCTACTTAGATGCTGCGTTATCTAAATTTTGATGATTTTTAAAATAGATGTTTGAATTTAAAAGCTATTGATGTCTATATTTGCACATTAATTTGGTCATACTTCAACCTCGCCTTATGTAGCAGGAGAAAGTCTTTCTTGGCCATGGGGGCCAGCTTTAATTGTGCATATAGGTGGTATTTTTCCTTTACCGACGAATGAAAGTAATGTAATACAAATTTGTTTAATGACATTACGTAAAATACAGCTCTAAATGAAGCATTGAAAAAGGAAGTTGAGCGGCTCAAGGTTGCTACCGGAGAAGTAATGACAGCTACAGATTCGTATAACTTTGGAATGCCTCAAGTTTCATATCCCCGATCTTGCTTTCCACACCAACCACAATCTGTGCAACACAACCCACACAGGACGCAAAGGACCCAAGTTCATCCATTCCAGTCTAGTTTCCCGAACCCGCATCAAGCCATGTTTGTTACCTCCCACCAGCCACATGCCTTGACAGAAATGTTCCACCAGGATCCTATTAGCCGATTACAGGGTCTCGATATCGGTAGCAGAGGTGCAGAAATAAAGTCAGAAGGTTCCTCCATATCCGTCAGTGAAAGTAGCAGCACATTTTAACCCAATTTTTCGCCAACCTATGCATTGACCTCCCGGTAAAGGTGGCTTGTTCATAGATTGACCCTGTTGACAGACAAAAACTTTTCCTCATTTGTATGTCTTCTTTTTCTCCATTAATTGCCTTTGGCACCCGACGGGATAGATAAAATTATTCTTGTGATAGAAGGAGAAGCTTTCTCTTGGCTGGAATTCTGTTTCATAGTCTCATTTGCTATCATTCAAAAACATTGATTTTTTTTGGTAAAGGAGAAGCTCTCTCCAGCAATCTATTTTTGCTTACATTGTTCATTCATCCATTCTTTATTAGTCAAACTCATAGCTTGGTCCAAAGTTGCTGCCATAGATTTGTTTTGAATACTCTTTAAGATCCTGAGAATGAGAATGACTCTGACTATTGTGGATTTTCTGAATGAAAGCCAAAACAATGATGTTGATGATTATGATGATGGTCATTTTTGTCTTTAATTCTCTGTTTTTTCTCTTTTGGAGGAGGAGAAAACTTTGTTTTTTTGCAACTGCTTTGTACAGACTCAGAAGAAGGGCCTTTTTTTTTTTTTTTTTTTTTTTTTTTGTAAGCCTTGTATCAGTGTATGTACATACAGGTAGGTGGGGCAAGAAATATAACTAAATTGTCCAAATTATAAGGATGAAGGGGTCCCCCATGGGGCTGCCATTAAAGGGCACATGGTAGGGCTGCAATCCAATAGCCCTTAAATCTGCATCTAAGGGAAAAGCTCATGTGGCTGACATTTGTGGCTGCTATTCTTAGGCCATTTTGATGACTATTTCTTGACAATGACCATTTTAATGAAGTGTGTTCTTTTTGAACCATTTAAGGACACTTGTTAATCTTTCATGAGGTTGAGATATATGGCTAAAAGTGCTTTTCAAATTTTAATTTTGGGTGTGTTTGGAAATTAACTACTTCTCTTTATGAGTATCTATCAATTGAATTGATTATTTGAAATGTACCTTTGTGCTTTTGGCTTTTGGACAAGTGTTGTGAAATTGTAGTCATATCGAGGTGGACGAATGATAGTTAAAATTACTTTCATATATGTTAAAATGGTAGAGAATGCGAACAATGTTTCACATCAATAGTTAAGAGTAGATGATCGTTCATAGTATATATAAGAACAATATTTCTATTAAGTTTCAATTACGTGTTTGAACTTTTAGAATTGTAGCTTTTTAGTTTTTATAGTTCAAAAAGTTTCTAATAGGTCCTAAAATTTTCAGGGTTATATTTATTTAATTTTTATACTTAAAAAAATATTTAACTAAAATTGGTTTAGACATAACTTAATTGGTCACGACATTATACTAACCTCTTAAAAGTCAGAAGTTCAAATGTTGTTAAATCAGTCAGCTTAGGCTTACGCCATCAAACGTCTAAACCTTCTCAAAATCAACTTGTCATACCATGTAGGCATTAAAATAAGCGAATTAATAACTTTTTAAAGTACAGGGATCAGATAGGTAAAATCTTATAAGTTCCTAAATATATTAGAAAATGACCAAACTTATAATTTAACCGAACTGTTGGAACCGATCAATTTTGAGACGATGAAAGAGCACTGTGGAACACTCCATAAATGGATGGTGTGGCAAACAGTCGTATTCATATATGTTGGGTGAAGGTATTAATTTGGTCTCTTGCATTTAATCACTTGTAAACATTTGTACAATCGGAGGCCACACCTTTTTCTTTTCATACCATTCATTTCCAACACATCTACGTGCTCTTTTAACACCTTTGCTTTTTTTTTTTTAATATTTTGTGTGGTTAATATTATAAATTTAATCCCCAATCCCGACACTTTGAATATTGTATCTATTTAATCGGTAAATTATAAATTGAATTAATTGTGTTTTTATTTAGTCCTTAATGTAAACATGTATATCCATTAAATGATCATATCATACGTCAGACTTTTTGTTGGTGACATTAAGCATAGGGACTAAATAAAAATGCCTACAAGTCTATGTATATTGCCTTAAAAAATTCTATATATCCATGAGTTCGACATCGACATATAGAGATGAATCTATATTTTTATTATACTGCACTAATAAGAAATTTTAACTTTTCTAAAATTGTTTATTTATTAATTGAGTTCTTTTTAATGAATTTATTGATTTTTGTAGCTTTTTGACATCAAAATTATAATGAAGTTTCTCTAAAATTGAGACATTGACAATATTTTGATCTACAATAATATTTACAACACCTTAAATATAATTTTTCTTAAAAAAATCTTAAATATAATTTAAGGTTGAAAGTCAAAATTAAAACCTTTCAAAATTTAGAAGCTAATTGAAAACTATACTTAAAAGTGCATGGATTGAATTAATTGTGATTTAACCTTAAAAATTTGATGTAATTAGGAGAGGAGAATAATAGTATATAGTTATAAGTTCATTGAATTCTTCAATCAATCTTTTTGATGGTAGGGTCACATCCAACCAATCTTATCAATCTTTTCCTAGTTACAATGTTAAAATCTAGTAACTATTGATGAAATTCGATTAAGAACCATATGTTATCATAGTACAAAGAGTGCCCGCTGACTTTATTAATTCTCATACGCGAGTTAATTGACAGGGTTTTAAAATATTAAGTTCTTATCGTTCAAATGTTATAGCCCGTCAAGATTAGTTTTTTTAAAAAATTGAACTTTAAAATAAAAAATTGAGAGTAAAATTACATTTGAACTATTACATATCGTTAGAGTTAAATTACATTTTTAGTTATCGTTAGGAATCATCTCTAAGTTTTGACGATAAGCTTATTCGGTCTTTATACTTATAAAAGTCTCGTCATCATCCTATCAGGCAATAATGTGATGTTTTGTTTTAAATGCATTATTTTTGCTCGAAAAAAAACTAGGAACCATGTTATTTTGATCAAAGTACAAAAGATAACGTTAATTAATAGACTCGTGTGGCTCGTTTTCAAATACTAACTCTTGGAGGCGTCAAACGATACTATCACGTGACCACCAGGTCCTAGATGCTCGTTCCTCCACAAGAACTACCTGAAACACTTAGTCAAATTCTGGAGAGGAAGATACTGAAACCTACCCAGATCATGTGCACCTCACAGGCCGATCTTTGACCCGACACCCCCAACCGCCTGTCGAATTCCCTGTCAGATACTTAAATTTATAAATAGGAGGTCTCACTCTTCAGTCAGGTATCACATTCTAACTACGTCAATACTAAGGTCGAACTCAAAACTGACTTGAGCACTTTCTTTGCCAAGCGACTTTTTCGATTCATTCTAGAACGTCTAGCGCGTCCAGTCAACCTACCTCAACCATGTCGACTTTGACCAATATTTGTTACATAACCACTGACCACAAATTTTTTTTAAAGTGATATATATATTACTCTTTTACTAAGGTAAGAAAATAGAATGAAACTTTAAAAACCATACCCACTTTAAACTAATCTTTAGGGAAGGTTTATTATATGCCAAAATAATTAGGTCATCCATCAAGAAATAATACTGTGGTTTATCTTTTAAATTGAAAGTGACAAAAATTGAACTAAAACAAAGTTTGATTGAGGAAAAAGCAAAAGCAATAACAAAGTTCATAAAGAGACAAACTCATAGATTTTGTTGCAAGAAAAATCTCTAAGACACTTCAAAGCAAATGACAAATTAAATTATTGACTCAAAAAAAAAAAAAAAGAGAGAGACAAAGGGAAATTTCTAGCTAAGCCAAAGCATGGAATTATTTATCTTGAATTATTAAATTAATATAACAGAAACTTCTTTTACCATCGTAACTCTGTTGGAAGTTGAGTCTATAATTGCAAAAAAGATTGTAAGTTTGGGAAATAAGTATTTGATAAATTTCAAAGGTTTTATTATAATAGTATTTTTTTGGTTGGGATTGGTAGAGTCAAATCGACGTTGGAACGAGTCAGGGGCGAGTCGAGACGCGTCGGAATTGGTGGAGTCAAACCGTTGTCGAACGAGTTAGGGACGCGTTGGGACGAAGAGGGATGAAAACAAATGAAGAAATGGAGCTACATGCCAGGATGCAGAGCCGCAGTGCTGTCAAGATGGAGGCGCACTGATAATTTTTCCCATTTGTAATACCATGAGGCGTTGTATCGACGTTATAAATATTGCAGTTTCAAGTTTTAGCTTTTAGCCGCCGAAATTATCAGTTTTATGTGGCAGTTTTGAGACAGCAATTCGGGGTATTGGTAGCAGAGTTGGGGAGATCAATATCAATGTACCTAAGTCTAGTGTGTTATAATACTTAGAAACTATACAGTTTTTGTTGAGACTTGGTGAATATCTCTTGGGAGATATATTTGAGTGCTTGAATCTAATCTTATTTTAGTGAAACTCGCATTTGAGCAGAAGACTAGACGTAATCTGTTGGGGTGAACCAATACGTATTTGAGCGGAAGACTAGACACAACTCATAATCTGTTAGGTGAACTAGTATAAATTCTTGTGCTGTTGATTACTTTTCTTATATTTCTCTCTGTGTTGTGTGATTTACTTAGTTAATTGAATATAGTTGTGAAAGGGAAAATTGCTTAGAGTGACTTGATTTCCCTACAGGTAGTTTGTGCAATTTTTTAATCTTTAATTATTTATTATTATTATTATTTTTTTTGCTGTCACAAAGTTATAAATTTATAACAATGTACTTAATTGTATCAGTTTGAGAGGGTAATCACGAATTAAAAAAATGAAGACGTGACTGTAATTATTGTTTATAGTTTTACTAAAGCTACGAGATATTCTCTGGTATCTTTGGGTCAATACCAAGTATAAACTGTGATTCTTTTATTTTGGAATTAAGCGTATTTTGGCAACTCTATGTAAAAGTAAAGTTAACAAATAAGTGACTCTTATCACTCGAAAAAATCATACGTAAAGTTTTACTTCATATATACGATTTCTTTTTCAATTCTTTCGAATTTAAGATATTTCAATCATTCAACTTTAAACGAGGAACGAATGAATCGATGTTTCTTGAAATTTTAGTGTGTTATAGATGAAATATAGTAAAGTTTACCTGAAGTGAGGATAGAGAAGTGATGTGAGTCGAATCATAAGGTCAAGTAGATTGGGTTGAACTACCCGACTAGATCATTAGAATAGACCTGAGCCAAACATGCCGATCAAACCCTACTCGATACATCGGAGCCAACCCAAGGAAAGACTTGGAGTGGGAGATATTTTTTCACAATTCTACTATTTGTTACATTCAATTGAATTCAGATTTAAACATAGTTAGATTTATATATTCCAAACTATTTTTTTCAAATATAAAATGTACTGCTTATTTATCAAATATATGTAACCTAGGGTTTCTCCAAAAGAAAAAAAAACATATTTTTTAATCTACAAAAGGTACCAACCCAACATGTTTATTTTATGGAAACCGACACATACATATGACATTTTTTTTTCCCTTTTTCCTCTTATTTATTTATTAATCTTTTATAATAAATGAGTCAGAGTTATCGGTGCATTAATTAAGGTTTGGAAAAAAGAAACAGGTCAAGAGTTCTTGTGGATTACGCAAGCACCATTAAGAAATTTCTATGAATACTTTAATTTTTTAAAAATATATAATTTTATTGTTATTTAGAAACCATAAAAAAAGGTTAAAAAATACTTTTTAATCCGTGTATGTAACAATTTAGTATTTGAATTTTAACATGTAACAATGTAGTCATTGTAATTTAAAGTTGGTAATGATTTAATCCTTATTATGAAACATTTTTTGTTAAGTTTCTTGTATGTATGGATTGATAAATTAAGGATGATCCAATATATTTATGAATTAGAAAAATTAAATTGTTATATGATAAAATTTGACACTTAATTTTAATAAAAACATTTACCACCGAGACTAAATTGTTACAAATTTTAAATTAAGGAAAATCACATCTAAGGAAAGAAAATCATTTTAAAGTATTAGAAAAATGTCAATGTTAATTAAAATGTAATTAAAAAAAGGTATCCATTACAAATTACCCAAATAAAGAGTACTGAATAATTTATTTGTTTTTCGACCCAAATTACTATTTACATTTATTTTTCTTACTTTATATTTTGCTTTAACAAATTGATTTGGTTCTCAAAAGAGCAAAGAGTGAAGAAGAAGAGAAGTAAAAAAGGTTAAAAAGGAGGCTTATTTCTTACAATAATAGAAAAATAACCGCACCAAAATCACTTTATTACACGCTAATTTAACTTTTGACCCAAAGGACTAATTTGGTTTGTAAAATGATTTCTCATTCTTTCTTTCACTTTACTTTTAATTATATGGTTTAACCTTATTTAACTGGAACTTTTTTTTTCAAAGAAAAAGAAAAAAGAAAAAAGAAAAACAACTTCGTTCTACCAATTTACTTTACTATTTGATTGTACAACAAAAATTAGAAAATAACCTAGATCTAGTTTAAGATGGTAAAAATTAAACTATTAAGAAAACAAGCGGTATAACTTTTTTAAATTGAAAGGGGATGTGTTAAGAATTGGTTTTGAGATGAAATCCCAATATTAATGTAGTATCAGAGTCCAACAAATTCATCGACCAATTTGTTTTGCGATGAAACCCATGAATATTAATAACATAAATATATAAAATCTTTTAAATTTTAGAAATCAAATTAGAATGTACATAAATTTTGAAAAAATAGAACAATATTATTTTAACATCTTATGGTAGGTAGATAAAGAGTATGAATCACATTTGATGGGTCACTTTAATTAATATTCTAACCACTTGTTAACTTTGTACTCTCATGTGGGTACAAGTCTATTATTACTAGTTATTTTTGAACTCCAACAAGGCATTAAATGTGTGACTAATGACCAAAAACAAAAGTAATGAATGATTAAAGGAAATAAATAAATTTCTTCACCAAAATAATAGTTAATTAAGGTTAAAATACTGTACTGGTTCCTATATTTTCAACCTTGGTTCATTTTTGTTTCTGTACTTTCGAAAGGTTCATTCTGATCCATGTACTTTTAACCTTAGTTTATTTTAGTTCATATACTTGCAAAATATTCATTTTAATCCAAGTACTTTTAAAAGATGACTATTTTGATTATTTAATTTTATTATTATTTTTTAGTAAAACCATTTTATTTTTAATCTCATTTAATCACTACGAATTTGTATAAATGGATTTCCGTTATGGGAAGAATTTGAATTAAAATTTTAAAAATAGAGAAAAAATGGTCACCTTTTATAAGTATAAGATCAAAACGAACATGTTAAAAGTAAAGAAATTAAAATAAATCAAAGTTGAAAATACGTGAACTAAAATGAACCAAAACTGCAATTTCAAGATCAAAATAGTATTTTAATCAAATAATAATAATTCGATATTGCAATAATGCTTACGATATTACCATGTGACAAATATATATATATATATATATTATATTATGAAACTCCTGAATATTTTATCTATATATATATATTTACTGAAATTAAACCGCACCTTTCAACTATTAAGGTATTAGTAGTGGCTATAATTTTCAAACAATTATTTATGCTTTAATTAATGGAATAAAGATAATAATTAAAATCAAAACACAACATAAATTACCAACTTTCAGAATTACGTCTATTTAGTTCATATATATATATATATATAATATACCATTACAAATATTTTTTTAGAACTTTAAAACTTTGAAAGTTATGCAAGTTTATCTTCACATTGTATTTTAAAAAAGTTTCAAATAGATCTTTTGAACTAATTACAATTTTGTCTATCACAAATTTTGTCTATTATATATTAGGATATCCTTATAAAATTTATAAAGACTACATATCCACATAATTAAATATATCCTTATAAAATTTATAAAGACTACATATCACATAATTAAAAAAAAAGCGTGTTTGAGACGTTGGTTCAACATTTTAAATTTAAGAATGTAAAGCTTGGATCGAGTTTAGTAAACAATCCGTATTTAAGAGAAAAATTGTATGAAGTAGAGTGAATTTGAGATTTTATTTTTTGTCCAATAAACCTCAAATGACGAGATTCGACAAATCCATGAAGAGAAACATAAGTTCGACGTCTTAAACAAAACCCGTTGGATAAACATTTTCTGAAGATCGAATCTATTAGAATCCTCCTCAAACATTTTTCTAATAGATTCAAAGCTTTTGAAGTAAGAGATGTGAAAATTTTGCAGTGTGTGATGCAGCTCTCTCTCTCTCATCACCGTCATGTGGGTGTGGGGTAAGATTGAGAGGCTATCCCAAATTTCCCAATCCCAAACATTTGCATGTGCTCTTATTATAATTCTAAATCTCTCTCTCTCTTCTTCTTCTTCTTCTTCCTTCCTCTTTCTCTTTCAATTTTATGTGGCTTTCCCTTCTCTTTCCAAAGTAAAATTAGCCCTTTGTTTTTGTATCACACACATGGCTTGTTGCCAAATCTCTCTCTCTCTCTCCCCTATATAAATCTCCCCTCTCCTCTCCTCTACCTCTAAACCCAAAAGCCCCACCCTTTCACACTACACTTGGAACTTTACCCATATGGCTTCTTCTCTTCTTCTTTCTCTCTTCCTCCTCCACCTCTACTTTGGCTCCACTGCCGCCGACTACGGCGGCTGGCAGAGCGGCCATGCCACCTTCTACGGCGGTGGCGATGCATCTGGCACTATGGGTAAGTTCGTATACGTACATGGTTTTAGCCTCTAATATTTCAGCATTTTGTTTGAATTGAATTCTGTTTTGATTTAGCCTTTTTTTTTAACCTTTTTCACACTATACCTGTTTCAAAATGTGGCTAAAGTAAGCTTACGTAACACGATAATTAACCAGTCGCAAGGTAATTAATAAAAAAGTAACTATATGTTTTAATCCCTAATATTTGAGCGTTATTTCGATTTGGTCTCTATAGTAAAATATTAAAGTTACATATCCTTTACGTTTTAGAAAAAAATTAGTCAAAATTTCAATTTCGTCTAGCATCATAACTCTCACGTACGTAAGTTTACCATCAGACACATTAAACACGTCGACCAATAAAAGTAATGGTCTAAATTGAAACTTCATAAACAATGGAGAGATAAAAACAACCACAATAGTGGTATTATATTGACGAGAGAATTGAGGAATTGGGGGCGGCTATTGTGATGGATTTGTGTAGGTGGAGCTTGTGGGTACGGAAACTTGTATAGCCAAGGGTACGGGACGAACACGGTGGCGCTGAGCACGGCGCTGTTCAACAACGGCCTGAGCTGCGGCGCCTGCTACGAGATGACATGCACCAACGACCCCAAGTGGTGCCTCCCCGGCACCATCACCGTCACCGCCACCAACTTCTGCCCCCCCAACTTCGCCCTCCCCAACAACAACGGCGGCTGGTGCAACCCCCCGCTCCAGCACTTCGACATGGCTGAGCCTGCCTTCCTCCAGATCGCCCAGTACCGCGCCGGAATCGTCCCCGTCTCCTTCCGAAGGTATTTCATTTCCAACCTTCTACTCACTCTTTGACGTGACATATTTTTATTCGTCTGTTCTTATTATTGCCTTTGATAGATAAGTTGGTCTCAACAATATGTTTTTTAGGATTAAGAGAGAATAAATATTTAAAAAAATAAATAGCAATCATTTTTTTTAATGATAGTCCGTATCTAAATATTATTCATAAAAATGCATTGCGTTAGACAGTTAGAAGGAATGTTGTGGTTTGACTGTGTCGTGGGGGCAGAATATATATTTTCTCCGTAAATTTGTGTTTAATAAATTAAATGTAATCGTAGCTCATCGATTCAAAGGAACTAGAATGAATTGAGAAGGAATGAATTAAACCCCATAATAACCATCTATTTTAAAAGTTGAAATTAATTCAATGTAAAATTTGATTGGTTAAGATAAATATTATTCAATAAAAATTGAAGGTTGGAATGTTCATTATGGTTACCATTGTTTAACAATTTTTTTTTTCTTTTAGATTTATGAGTTACAAACTTTGGTTTTTAATGGATTATTAGCTATCTTAGATATTTTTGTTTTTTCAAAAAATAGATTTTTGGAATTTTAGATTTAAATCTTTAAAAATTTTGATGGATTATAAGCATGATTTTCAAAATAAAGGATCTGATTCTATGTTAAATAGAGAGTAATTTTTGTCCTACAAAATTATAAGAAGTAATATATTCTAATTCTATATAATTACATCAATAATAGGTGTTTTTATTTATAATCCCATCACTCAATCATTATTTGAAGCAGATCCAATATCTATTTTGAATAAATTGCATAAATCATAATAAATAAAGCATCATATCAAGGATCTTAATTTGTAAATAAGTATATAAATAATTACTAATTATTGCATTAACAAATTCATATGCATTGGAATAGTACTTTTATCTATGAATTCTTTTCATTATATATTAAATTGGATAGGATTAATTAATGACTAAAAAGTTTGTAATTATTAGAAAGAGTTGGTCTATAAAAAAAGTTATCCAGAAATTGACATTTTTTAAATGGGCCCTTTAAAAAACTGTGTGTGTGTGTGTTTTTTTTTTTTTAAAATTTAGCAAAATAATGTACTCTACAAAAAGACAAAAATAAAAATAAAAAATAAATAAAAAGAAAAACGTTATAGTTGATTTGATATATTACACTCCAAAAAAATTATTAGAGGACTTATTGTACTAATTTATTGTTGTGTGTCTAAATTATAATAAGACAAATTTTCAATCATATATATATTAAGCCATAGCTTGGCACACAACTAAGATTTAACATCTTATAAATATAAAATGTGATGGTTTATCTGATTTATTCCATTTATCTGTAATTTTACAATTTTGTCCATGTTTATTAAATACAAAATTTAATTTTCAACAAATTATTTTTACTAATTTTGTTACCCATTGAAATGCAAACAATCCCTTTATTCTTTTCACATATATTTTTCTTTTCAATTTTTAAAGTGTATTTTAAGAAATTGTGGAAATGAGAACAATTTCTTAAAATAATTTAAGAAAGTGTATGTTTTAAAATGAGAACACTTTAATAATTTTTTTGACCGACCACAATGTTTACTTAAAAAAAATCATAACGTTAGATTATTTTTTTGAGATGAAACTACATAAATCTTTTGAAAAATCACATGAATATTTAAGAAATGCATTCCATTATTTTTTTTTTCTAACAATAAAGAACCCAAAGACAGAGAACAAAATAGTTGGGAAGCAAAATTTTCTTTTTACTTCAATTTTTTTTTGTTTATTTGTTATAATTTCTCTAGTAGAACGATTGGGGTTAAAAAAACAACTATGATTTAATTTGATCCTAAACTACTTTAAAACATAATTGCACATTCATCAAAAATTAAAAAAGAAAAAGGTTAGAAAAACATATAGGAAGAATTTTTTCTCTCTTTCCAAGTTTTAATGACATTAAAAAATGGATAAAATTTAAGTGCATACTGGTAGGTAAGAATACCTACCGGTGTAAAAAATATTGAGAATTTATTTGTTATATATTCTCTTTTTCTGGATGTATTCATCTCTCTTAATTAGTTAATTTTTTTATGTGAAAAATACTTTCACTCTTTATTTGGACCGATTTTATCTTTACCACAATTATTACACGTTTGACAACCCACCCTCTTAAATTAGTAATTCTCTATTTTTTACATATTTCTCCCGTTGTCAAACATTTAATAGTGATAATGATAAATTTTGTCCTCACATCGTTAAATCTTTGACAATTAAGAGAGAAATACAAAAACAATAGAATGAGTTGTTAAATTTTCAATGGTAGCAAGAACAAAATTTGGTTATCACCACTAACGAGCCAAACATCATCCTTTCGTTTTTATGTCTTACTACCAGCACCTAAGTTTGGAAAATATTTGCTCTCAAATCAGGTCCTCTCACCTTGGAAAATAGACAAAATCTTTATCTTCATATTTCTTTCTCTAAGTTGTCAAACATTTAACAGTATTAAGAACAACATTGATCCTGACCGATAAGAAAAAATGTAAATGAACGTGAGTGTGTGTTTTGAAAAATAGGGTGCCCTGCATGAAGAAAGGGGGAGTACGGTTCACAATCAACGGCCACTCGTACTTCAACCTAGTCTTGATAACGAACGTCGGCGGCGCGGGGGACGTGCACGCGGTGTCGATAAAGGGGTCACGCACCGGGTGGCAAGCGATGTCGCGAAACTGGGGCCAGAACTGGCAGAGCAACAACTACTTGAACGGGCAGGCGCTGTCCTTTCAAGTCACCCTCAGCGACGGCCGCACACTCACAGCCTACAACGCCGCACCCTCCAACTGGCAGTTTGGCCAGACCTTTGAGGCCGCCCAGTTCTAGAATCACCCCAAAACCATACACAAAAAACATCCAAAATTTGGTGCTTTTTTTCTTTTCTTTTTCTCTCTCTTTTTTGGTTTGAGTGTGCGTGGGGTTGTTTAGCAGAGGTTTTGGAGGAGGGTCCGAGCGGCGGCGGTAGAGATAGGGGCGGAGGAGGGAGGAGGAGGGGGTATTTTACGATAATTGAATGGCCATAATGGCTACCTCTGTTATGCTGTGGTGTTATAATCTGGCACCCGCTAGGCTTTGACATTTATATATATTTATATTTATCAATATATATATGATATATATTAATATAAATGTTGTTGTTACTATGGTTTGTATTAAGAGTAAAATAGAAGTAGAAAAAAAAAAGGTAAATAGAAGATTCAAGAGGTCTCTAATGATCCGTATAGTCATCTCCACCCCCTTACATCAATCCCGCGAGTCTCTTATCCATTTCATTCGATCACAGGAATTTTCCTTCATTTTATTGCATTTCGCTTAAGTCAAATTTTAAATGGAGGAGTTTCAAGATATTTAGAACTTGAGAAATCTTGACAAATTTAGTTAATTTTTTTATGTGTTGTACTGTTTGCGAAAATATCATTTCTTTTGATGAAGAAGAGAATATTTTTCTTCTTATATTTCTACATCTAGGTGTTCTAGAAATATCTGGGATCGAGTAAATAGTTCGATGGACGAATGGGTTCGATCCTCAAAAAAGAGGATTTGATTGCGTATCGAGGTAGCTACGTGCTCTAATCCTCTTAGCCACAGGCCACACCCCATCTACACTAGATATGTTGCTCGGATGGCCTAAAAAAAGATTTATTGCTGGCAATCCATGACAATTTGCAAAAGCAAAAATTTGGAAGTTTAACCGACGAAGAAAAAAGTAAAAGTCTAATATACTAATAATGAACCACCCAAATAATTATATACTTGATATACCAATGTGATACATATTATTTGATATAGGTATACCTGAAGTTTGGAAAGGGTAAAATTGGAATAAATAAAAAAATTGAAAATTAGATTTCAAATATTTTGCCAAATGTTTATACCAAATTTTGAGAGGACGAGTAAGGCAGATCTAGCCGATCGAGCTGTTCGAAGCAAGCTATATTGTGAGGAAAGATTTGCACAAAAGAAACAGACACACCGAAACTCAAGTCAATAAGAATTCGATCTATGCTTCTGAAGATGAGGAATCAAATAAGTGCGTATCATGTCTTCGTTTTGTTAGACCGTTTGTAGAGTTTGTTACATGGTTATAGATGGTTTAGCACGGTACCTCAATGTCTAACCTTTTTGAGGCTATCTGTAGTTTGGCCAAGCAATTAGGTACCACTATGGTCTAGCTTAATTGGTCAGCCACTGATTATTTTCAAAGTAACAAAAGAAGCTCACTTTGAGATGATCTTTCCTTATATTCTCTACTGGTAGTCGTATTTTGCCTTTAATCATTAAAGTTGTTGTTATATTTGCAAATATTTTAGTTACCCATTACATATTTTAGTTACCATAGATATAGCTGATGTAGTTAAGACATCTAAATATTTCGCCAATTTGAATATATAGCTTAGTACTTAAGACACCAATACGTTTTTCTCTGGTTGAAATTTCAAATCTCCACTCACATATTTATTTGTTGAATTAATATATACCATTTATAAAGTTAAATGTTGAAAGTTTGATGCTACCACTTGTGGAACTAAAAGAAATAATAAAATTTGGTTATAATGAGAGCTACAAGAGGGAACCTAAAAAAGAAAGGTAACATTAATAATGGTTGTTAGTATCTCTTTGGGGAAGAAAACCTGAGTGCCACGTGGTGGACAGTGATTCGCCAAAGGGAATATCCCCATATGAATTTCCAGGCAGGTCCATCTCGGCACCTTCCGAGGTGGAGGACTTGGCCATTAATTTTCTCATCAAGATCACCAATATTAAAGATAAATTATCCAGGTTCGATATACTCAACCCAACAAGTTCGACTGTTAGCTTTATGACTTCAATCAAACCAAATATTTTGATGATCACAAACCAAGTATAAACTAACAATTTGAGTATTTCAAAGTGTCCATAGCGTAGAGCTCGAAAAGACAAAGCCAATGCCTGTCAAATCACTCAAATTGGAGTTTAAACGAAGAAGTTATGGTAAAAAAAAAGTCAAGAAAAAAATCCTAAGTGGAGGTGACATGGACAAGTGGACAAATCTTACGTGGTGGGTGACATGGACAAGTGGACCACTCAGAAGTTGACATGTGGCATCAAGAGGATATATTTAGCTGACATCCAACAATCGAACAAATCAGAAGATGACATGTGACATTTTCAATTTCTAACAAATCCATTTCCACAAATTTCTCTCAATCTCCTCAATCACTCTCAATCTCCTCAATCACTCCCAATCTCAATAATTTCTCCATCTCCACCAATTTCTTTTAATCACCATAATTATGTTTTCATTTCATTTCCTTACTTCACTTCTTAATCTACATCATTCATCCTTTGTTGCCCTAAATCCAATGGCCAAAATTCATCATCGAAATTCTATTTAAAGCCACCAAATTCTACTATTCAACACACCAACTATCAAAGCAAAATCCTTTATTTTCAAATTCTCCTCTCAACCTTTGCAAAATCATCATTCTCTCCTACACATAACTTGTCTATCTTTTTGTGAGAGATTTATTAGAGTGTGGTTTTTTAGCCATTATTTGGTGCAAAATTTGTATAATCCACTTGTATTTTTGAATTATTTATTTTCAAATTGGGTTTTGTATTAAGGTGTGTGTACACCTTGGGTTGTGAAAAATTAAATTGGTTAGATCCTGAACCAGTAAAAAGGATATTGGATTTCCCTTTAGCTTAGGACAAAAAGAAGGTCGATTGGTTTGGTTCTCACCCGTAAGAGGGCCACTGCAGTAAAATACCCAAGAAGGAGTCTTGGGGAGTGGAGTAGGAATTTCCGAACCACTATAAAGATTCTCGGTGTCACCACTCTCTTCTCTTCTCTCTTTTAAATTCAGTATTTATCTACTTTGAATCTTGGTAGATTGGATATAGGTTTTCTTTAATATTTTGTTCAATATTTCCTCTTCTTGTTAATCTTCTTTTATTGATTGCATAATTGTTCATTACCTTGAATTTATTTTTAATTTTTAAAAAATGGTAAGCAACCCTATTCACCCCTCTCTAGTGTTGTCATTCGATCCTACAACAACCGATGTCGGAGCCTAAACCTATAAATAGAGGGCCTCATTTTACCATTAGGTATTGAATTTCTCCTCGAACTTAATATTGAGTCAGACCTGCTTACTGACTTGAGCGTCAGAGATTTTGCCCTCTTGTGCAGGTCTTCCCGTTGTATTCCAAGTTGGAGCTAGGACTGAGTTCGAGCTTGAATAAGGTTTGACATTGTGCAAATTCTCTGCGTAAACAGTGTCCATCTGATTGGTTTATAAGAGAGTCAGACACGATCAAATTGAATAGATCTTGTTGTGTCTAAGTCAAATTTGCATGCTTTGATAGAGGAATATAAATTATTAGAAGTGAAAAATAAAGATATATCATCTACTATTTTAAAGTTTACATACGGTAAAAAGAACTTAGACATGATGATGGGCAAACAACAAGCTATCTTTGATAAAAGTGGTTTAGGCTATAAACCTCATAAAAAACAAAAGAAATTTGTAAACTACTTTGTTAAAGAAAGCTCAATGTCTACTATTGTTTGCAATGCATGCGAAAAACTTGGTCATAAAATTTATGCTTGTAACTTGAGGAAAAATGATGCATTAAATAAAAAGAGATGGATTCCTAAATTTTTGCTTACTAACCCTCAAGGACCCAAACAAGCTTGAGTACCTAAAGTTACATCTTGAGTATCATCTTTCTTCTAGGTATGTTTGAGATCAATAAAGAACAAGTGGTACTTGGATAGTGGGTGTTCAAAGCACATGACCGGAAACCACACAAAATTCACACACCTAGAAATGAAAGATGGAGGGTACGTTAATTACGTTTGGCGATAATAAAAAAGGTAAAATCATTGGGAAAGGTAACATAGGTAATGGTTCAAAATTTATGATTGAGAATGTGTTGCTTGTTGATGGCTTAAAGCATGATCTTTTAAGTATTAGTCAATTATATGATAAAAGTTATAAAGTAGTATTTAATGATAAAAATTGCATAATTGAAAATGCTTGTGATGGAAAAATGTTGTTTGTAGGAAATAGAGATAAAAATGTTTATACTATTGAATTGAATGACTGCCCAGTTGATAATAAATGTTTGTCTGCTATGCATGATGATTCTTGGTTGTGGCATAGAAGATTAAGTCATGTTAGCATGTATTTGATTTCAAATATTTCCAAGAAATCTCTTGTTCGAGGTCTTCCAAAATTAAATTTTGAAAAAGACAAAGTTTGTGATACATGTCAAATGGGTAAACAAACTAAGTCATCCTATAAAGCAAAGAAAATGGTTTCTACTTCTAGGCCTTTGCAACTATTACATATGGATCTATTTGGACCTACTAGAGTTGCAAGTCTAAGTGGAAAACATTATGCTTGTGTTATAGTTGATGATTTTTCAAGGTTTACTTGGGTTTTATTTTTATCTCATAAAGATGACGCCTTAAAAGCATTTATTAGTTTTTCAAAGAAAATTAAAAATGAAAAAGGTTTTATGATTTAAAAAATTAGAAGTGATCATGGAGCAGAATTTGACAATGCAGCTTCTGAAAAGTTTTGTGATGAAAATGGTTTTTCTCATGATTTTTCTTCTCGAAGAACACCACAACAAAATGATGTTGTAGAAAAGAAAAATCGCTCTTTGCAAGAATTAGCTACTTCTTTGTTAAATGAGTATAATCTACCAAAATATTTTTGGGCTGAAGCTGTTAATACTGCCTCTTATGTGATGAACTGTGTTTTAATAAGGCCAATTTGAATAAAAATCCTTATGAGCTTTTTAATGATAAAACTCCTAATATCAGTTATTTCAAAGTTTTTTGTTGCAAATGTTTTATTTTGAAAAGTAAAGAGAAACTTGGAAAGTTTGAGTTAAAAACTGATATTGGCATATTTTTAGGATACTCGGCATGTAGTAAAGCATATAAAGTTTTTAATAAAAGAACCCTTGTAGTTGAAGAGTCAATGAATGTTGTTTTTGATGAATCTCATATTACTGCTAATCAAGTTTCAGCTAGTGATGAGTTAGAAATGCTTTTTGAGAATTTGAATTTAAAGATAATAACTCGGAAGCTGTAGTAAATGAGACTCAACAAGTGCCAGAGGAAACCCTTCCTAAGGATTGAAGTTTCTTAACTCACCATTCGAAGGAGTTAATTATAGGTGATATATCCCCA